AATAATCAATTCAAGTTGTGACAACCCAAGTTCAGGCTAGAGATCAGGAAGTTTCCTCACTGTCAGAGCAATACAACAGTGGAACCAGCTGCCTAGAGAGGTCGTGGGCTCTCCCACACAAGAGACATTCAAGAAGAAACTGAAGGAGATGGTGTAAACTGGTGTCCTGCTACAGCAGGGGGTTGGACCCGATGGCCTTCTTGGCCACTTCCAACTCTACTATTCTGTTTCTATGGCATGGTTGGCTCACAATCTGAATGGGGACATTCCCCATTTGTTAGTGACCCCATTTGTGTTTTCTATAATAAATGCATACAGAGATCACCCACCACTGGGCATGTCCCAAGTTTCTCCCGAAGCCCACAAAACAAAACTACTAAAAATGTATATGGAAGTACTACAAAAGTAGAGCCCAACACTAGTGAAACCTCAAGAATAACTAAGGATAGAAAACAGAAGTTGGGGAGGAAAAGTTCTCAGGGATTCTTCCATCAGCACGTAGCCTCCTCTGAAGTTGCTAAAGGGGGCAAAGGCAATGAAGAACAGAGAACCCAATGAACACAAGAGGCCAAAGCAAGAGCTAGCATTTTATCCTCTAAGTCAGCACATCAATAGAAGACAATTTCTAAGAATTCCTGCCTGTTAAGGTTAGCCTAGCCAGTTTTAAGGCAGAAAAAGTAGGAGGGTGAAAGAACATCAAATAGTCACACCTGCAAGCTCCTCAGATCCAGAAAAAAAGGAACCAAAGAAACAAAGTGGACAAAGATCCAACAGAAGCAGGAATGTTACCTAGCTTTGTTTCAGGTTGCAAGATAGAAAAAATAACAGTTCTGTGTGGATATGTAGATCATGAACTATCAGGCAACATGAGGCATCTCTATTCTTTCATGGCTCCCAAGAAAATCTTACAGGTATAATTCTGTAAGGGTGCTGGGCATCCTAGGGAACTCTTCTCAGAACCCTGTGAAAACCATTCCCCAGGGTCAAGAATGGGAAACAAAGCTACAGCAGTGGACTCACTTTAGCTAACCCAGGAGAGAAGCAGGTGACATCAGGCACCTGTTCCAGCTGTGCCCCTTCTTATCACCAAGTGGTCTGCCACTAAATGCCCTGAGGGAAGAAACCCAAAAAGAAAGGGAGGGCTAAACAGCACCACACATCTCCTTGAATGTGATGCTGTTACGTTTTTAATATGTTTGGTCTATTTTATTAATACTGTGAGATGCTTTGAGGATGCCAGCTAGAAGGCAAGACACCTCAAATACCCGGGCAAGTTCACTAAATGAAATTATGAGACAGGAACCTCACAAATAAGATTCTAAAGGAAAATGTAACCTCCGCCTCACTATGCTTTCTTACTTCATGTCAGACAAAAGCAGAGCTAAGTGCCAGATTCTAAGAAATATAATTCTCCAAGGCAGTTCATGAATGTTCTTCAATTTTTTTAAAAAAAGATCTGGTTTTGATAAGTACAAGTAAAACAGGAGAGACAGATTTTCAAAAAGGAAAAGGATTTTGTTTGAAAACCTACATGGGAAAAATAAAACACTTACTGTGCAAGCCTGACCATGTCTACCTTAAAGTAATTGTGTACTGGATTGCAGCCTTAATTTACTGATCATATGTTCCACGAACTACATATTTATTATGATTTGTCTTTACAACTTCAAGGACTCACAATAAGCAAGTTTAATGAGGGGAAAAATCACTAGCCTAAAGTGGAGTTATTTCCCTCTCAAGGTTTCTTTCAACTAGGATAAAAGGCAATATTAATATAGCAATAATTAACATTTTCAATCACTCTACGAATGTTCAAAGCATCTCTGTCTCTCTCTCTCTCACACACACACAGACACACAGTACTTCTGTAATCCAACCAATGACCCAATATAGTATCTAAATCTTACTAACTCTGTATTGCAGACTTACCTAAGGCCATGTAGAAATTTTATGGCAGAGGCAAGATTCAAGTCAGGAACTTTCTGATTTGTACTTCAGTCTCTAAGCCACTATGCTTACATGAGCTTACATAGGTTTGATTGAAAGTTTAATTTTCCATCACAGAAAAGCCTGGGTTTTGGATATAGTTCTGTCTTCATTATTGTGAAACGCTGGTCTGCAACACAGATTTTCCAGCAATAAATCCCATAAGCATTACAATCTTGCTAAGTTGATGTTTACTTCTCCCTGACGGCAAAGAATTTATGATATTTTGGCTGAGCTAACCCAAGCTGTCATTTACCAAAAGATACACTGAATGTCTTATTGCTTTCTGTATTATTGGAACATTGGAAAAAAAGAAAGCAGACCTGGCCACCTATAGCAAAGGGGTTGCCAAAAATGAAAATTAAGATGCATTAAGAAACAGTAGCTGAAGAAATTAAAGAAATAATTGGGTGTGCAGCAGCTGCAACAAGCATTTCATGAAATAAAATTACAAAAAGCAAATATCTACTATTGATTATATGGCTGTTACTTGAAAAGCTGACAAGAGTCAGAAAATGACTGTACTGTTTAGAAGATTTGTGCGCTATAAAAATCAAACTAAAATCTGGATACTTGGTAAAACACAACACGCAATTTAGACAAGAAGAGTTTTTCATGCTAGCCTCTCCGAACCTATAACGTTCAGAGATTGTTGAAAAACTACAAATGAAATAAAATGGGACTGAAATGGGCCCACCCACTGGGGTACATTAGCGAGATATTACAAAAGATTTTACAAGCATTGATCGGCACAAAATTCTTCCAACTTGGTCCACTAGTCACAAGTCAACTGAAAAAGTGGCTTGACCCAGCTTTAATCACATTGTGGTTAGGATTCTAACAATCACAAAAGTTGTTTATAAGAACAGTAAATGGGCACTTTTTATTGCCAGCACTGTAATTTTCAAATTCTTGGTCAAAATACAAGGTATGTTCAAGATACTGAAAGGAATACCCTTATAAGTGGACTCTAGGAGACTTCAGCTTTGTGCTGCGGAAGTTATTGCTGTTAAATTCTGGTTCCCCACTAAGCATTTAAAGCACCCCTTTAAACTTGGCTGGCAGAAGCTTTTACGAGAGTGCCAATTAACATTAAAGGTAGAGCATATGCTGTGTATTGAGAGGGCTCTAGGCTTAACTGATCTTGGTAGAGGGATCTAAGAAACAGGGCTGCGCAAAAATCTTTCCTTGAAGAATGGGACATATGAAGCTAGATGACCAGTGGTCTAATTCTAAGGTAACCTAGAAAGTTCAAGGGCCAGTTCCCGTATCGCCTAATTTGACACTTCTAAATGAAGAGGTCCCACAGGATGCCGCTGACCTTGTGTTCAAGGTCAGGATGCTTCCACTTGCTGTGCCAACCCTGCCTGCCACCCTGGTGGGGATGGAAACTTCCTTGGAATGCAATGGCACCACCAACTTATCCCATGGAACTTCACAAAAATCTGCACGTTTCCCTCACTGTAACAACCCAAAAAAGATTCTTAAAATGCCAACTTCTGTGTGAACTATCCAACATCAGGCACTAATGAATAAATATACAAACATAAGGAAAAGTCACAGAGCTCCCTCCCTGGTTTCATTCAGCTATAATTCTGCTCATCAGCTAGGGAAAAGGCCCTGCTCTCTCCATAGGGAGAGTTTCCTGCCTCTTCAAACACCAACACCTGGATGGATGCTGATAGCTACCCACACAAGCTAGCTTCAAAGATGAAGCAAAGTGCAGTTTTAACGCCTTGCACATTTAATTTGAATTTTCCGATATTCATGTCACATGCTTCCCACTTTCATCAGCTAGGCCAGCTGCAGCTGGCTTGCTGGTTTTCTGTTCCCTGGGCATCATTACTTTCAGAATCAAGGTTATAAGGTTGCTCCTGGCAACTCAGTACACTTAAGAGCTCTTCCTTAGCTTCAGTAACAAATACCAGTGGGTACTCACTTCACAAACAAGTATGGCAGATAAAAGCAATAATTAATAAAACAAAAGCCAGATGCTTACATCAGCTCTGAATGCAAAGCCACTACTGAAATCAAGTGATGTGTGATGGGCAGAGAGACTGCACCCTCCTCCCACACACAACAGAACCTGACAAGAACAGACCATACTCAGAAACCCTAGTACAAGTCCCGCTTCTACCTTGCATTTTGCTTTAAATGCCTGCTCTCTGATAAAAGTACTTCCAAATTTCAAAGTGAAGCCTGGAAGAGTGGGCTTTGTGTAAACCCCTCAACATTTGCAGTTTTAGAGAAGGAATGATATAAAATATTGAGTTAACACTATGGTGCCAAATTTTCAGTTACTCAGGTATCATCTGAAGATGTTGGTAGAAAGGAGTCTCTTGACAGAGGTGTATCTGTACACTGCTTTTGAATGCCAGGATTAAAATTCCAAATGCTCCAGCCAAATGCTCTGTGTTGGACTCTTTTTTTGTCACACGTTAATGAGACACTTAGAACATAACATGAAGGACACCTGGGTTCAAATCTCTGACTCAAATGTGAAGCCTGAAGGGAGACCTTTGACAACCTATGCTAAATCTATGTTGATGTGAGTAAAAAAAAAAAGAAAATCAGAGCAACCATTCCATGAGTTGATTCTGGAGAAAAGGTGGGAGAGAAACCTCAGCGAGCCACCTGCATTTGTGAGGTACGGCCAATCAGCTGGCAGACAGCAGAATTGATGCAATCGTTGAAGCCTGGAGATTCCACAGCTAAAACACTTGGTAATGGCTAAAACGAGGAACGTCAAAAATGTGATGCAAAGCGTATGCTTATCCACTTACTTTTACTATTGCTGTTCTTTATATAGGTAGAAGAGAGAGTCTAGTGGTTTCAGATAATGTTACATTTAACTATTTTGTTTTTGGAATCACAGTCCCAGAGAAATTTAACATAAGGTTAATTTCAGGGCTACTTTTTTGAGGAAGGAATTCACATCGAGGTAACAGTAATGCTCCAACCAGCACGGGCTTCTTTGCAGTCAGCATTGCTATGATTAAAACAACTTTGCTCACCTCTATATTGAAGGCATTCTCCTCGATTTTCTCAACCTCCAAGTCTGCCAAGGGATTCTTCAGGTTCTGCAAGAACAGGGCAGCTTTCCTCTTCCGTTCTGCTTGAAGCTGCTTCTCTTTTGACTCCTTGGAGGCTTGTGCTAGCTTTTCCCGTGCTGCAGCTGCCAATCTGTCCTCTAGTTTCTGCTTTGCTGGGGATAAAAAAAGAAAGAAGGAGGCATATAGAAAATGTACAGTTCAGAAGGAAGCAACCTGAATCACGTGGCAGAACATTAATTTCTTACCTTAGGTTCTATCACTGAGACAGGATAAAAACCATGGCTATCTGCAACCCTTAAGCAACACCTTCAACTTATATTTTATATTATTTACAAATCTTTCTTATAATAAATATATTAGCTACAGCACAAAAATGAAAGGAACCGAACCTTGCTGAGACCCCCACAATCACTTGGAGGAAAAAATATTAGATGAATGAGATTATAAGAAACAGAAACAAAGCATAAGTTGAAGCACATAAAGAGTATGAGGAAATGAAAAAGAGATGAGTTTCTAATAAATTCTTAGAGTGAACACAGAGGAGGCAAGAGAATAGGTGAGAAAGCTCCAAGTTGAAGGAGTCATAAAATAGTTGGCACGGGTAAAAAGTGATAGAAGAAAGTGGGGTTTTAATAAAGTCAGGAACACAGGAATCCATATTATCATGCGTTGGACTCTTGGTCCATCTAAATCAATATTCTTTATATGACGGGCACTGACTCCATAGTTTCCCTGTAGAGGTGTCTTTCCCAGCTCTATCCAGAGATGCCAGGGACAGAACCTGGGGCTTGCCTCATGCAGAGCACTAACAACATCCCTTAAATTAGTAGTTCATGCACAAAAAGACTGAAGAGGACAGAAGGCAATAAAGATACATAAAAAGGTGCAAGACCATGACAAGACTTAAAGGTTAAAAAGGAAGACATTTAAATGCAATACAAAATAAGTAAAGAAGCCAGTGAAGTGAAATATAGAGATGTGACTTGTGATTAGAACATAAAGCACTGGGGCGCGGTGGGGGGGGGATGAGAAGCAACAATCTGAGAAATTACTTGTGTGCTTTGCCTATCCAGAAAAATTGTGGCAGGGGAAGTCATGCGTTCCCTCGCTTTAGTTTCTGTGCTCAACCACATGGGCTACGATTTCCATGGAAATCCTCTGTGCTTACACAAGCATTTTCTAGCCCAGTGGTAGGCAGAACCAAAAATTCATAAATAGTGCGGCTTAATGTTCTAATAGCTTGCAACTGAACTAAGAGGCTTTCTGAACTTTCAGAATGGGGGAAAAGCTGAACGGAACCAGGGAGACTGCAAAGCTATTGGTGCCAAGGGGAAGGGTGCCGCCATTGAGGTGGTTATGGGCAGGGGACGTAACAGCGTTGGGAGCTTAACGTGTCCGCATAGAAGGAGGAGGGACAGATGGCTGACACCTGTCCCTACTTCTGGTTTTGCTCCCAGCCAGAGGGTGCCAGGGAGTCTCGTCAGTCGCCCCTCCGGCCTGACGGTGCTGTTGCTTAATGCCAGGTCGGTCAATAACAAATCTGCCCTCATCCAGGACCTGATTGTGGATGAGGGGGCCGACCTGGTCTGCATAACGGAGACCTGGGTGGGAGAGGGGGGGGATGTTGCCCTCTCCCAAGTGTGCCCGCCCGGGTATCTGGTCCAGCACTGCTCACGGCCGGAGGGGAGGGGAGGGGGGGTCGCTTTGGTTTACCGAGCCTCCATCTCCCTCACGGGACTTCCGGTCCCTTCGAGACCAGGGCTGGAGTGTCTCTACTTGGTGTTGGGCGACCGAGACAGACTGGGGATTCTGTTGGTGTACCGCACACCCTTCTGCCCAACAGTCTCCCTGCCTAAGCTGACGGAGACTGTCTCGGACCTGGTGTTGAGGACCCCCAGGATGTTGGTCCTGGGGGACTTCAATCTCCATGCCGAGGCTAGTCTGACCGGGGCGGCTCAGGACTTCATGGCCTCCATGACGGCCATGGGGCTGTCTCAACATGTCACCGGCCCCACCCATGAACGGGGACACACTCTGGACCTGGTTTTCTCGACGGGGCAGGAAGAGGGTGGTCTGAGGGTGAGTAATTTATGCTTGACTCCCCTGTCATGGTCAGATCACTTCCTGGTGAGGTTTATGCTCGAGAGCGACTTCTCCCTCTGTAAGGGTGCGGACCCGATTATGTGGGTCCGCCCCCGGAGCCGGATGGATCCAGAAGGATTCCTGAAGGCCCTGGGGGAGTTTCCGGCTGACAAGACGGGTGCTCCTGTCGAGGCTCTGGTCGAACTGTGGAATGGGGAGATGACCAGGGCTGTAGACACGATCGCTCCTAAGCGTCCTCTCCCACCGGGCAGAGCCCGCTCATCCCCTTGGTATACTCCTGAATTGAGGGCGATGAAGCAGGTTGGGAGACGACTAGAGTGTAGGTGGAGGAAATCACGAGATGAATCTGACCGAACACACTTAAGAGCCCACTATCGGGCCTATGCTGTGGCGGTGAGGGCGGCAAAAAAGAGATTTTTTTCCGCTTCCATTGCCTCCTCACAATGCCGTCCGGCGGAGCTCTTTCGAGTGGTGCAAGGCCTGGTCCGTCCAGGTCCAAAGGAAGACCTGATTCCACCCTCAAAGGCCCGCTGTGACGACTTTGCCAGGCATTTCAGGGAGAAAATCGCTCAGATTCGTCACGAGCTGGACACCACTATTGATTCAGAGGTTTCAAAGGAGACACCAACGCTGCCGTCTGGTCCAGATTTATTGGATGAATTTCAGTTACTACGGCCCGATGATGTGGACAAGGTGCTTGGGCGAGTACGTCCAACCACTTGCCTTTTGGACCCTTGCCCGTCTTGGTTAATAAATGATTCCAAGCACGGGATTGGAACCTGGATCTTGGAAGTGGTTAACGCTTCTCTGAGGGAGGGTCGGGTGCCTGCCCCTTTGAAGGAGGCGGTAGTCCGACCGGTCCTGAAGAAGGCGTCACTGGATCCAGAGATGGCCACTAATTATAGACCAGTGGCCAACATCCCGTTTCTGGGCAAGGTGTTAGAACGAGTGGTGGCGGGACAACTCCAAGCACTCTTGGATGAAACTGATTATCTGGACCCATTGCAGTCCGGCTTCAGACCCGGGTACGGTACTGAATCTGCCTTGGTCGCCCTGTATGATGACCTGTGCAGGGAGAAGGACAGGGGGAGTGCGTCCCTGTTGGTTCTGCTGGACCTCTCAGCGGCTTTCGATACCATCGACCATGGTATCCTTCTGGATAGGCTTGCGGGATTGGGGGTTGGAGGCACTGCTTTGCAGTGGTTCCGCTCCTATCTCAATGGCCGGTTCCAGAAGGTGGTGCTGGGGGACTATGGCTCTGCGCCATGGCAGCTATGCCATGGAGTACCGCAGGGGTCCATTTTGTCCCCTTTGCTGTTCAACATATACATGAAACCGCTGGGAGAGGTCATCAGGAGGTGTGGGCTGCGGAACCATCAGTACGCTGATGATACCCAGCTCTACCTCTCGTTTTCCACCAATCCAGGTGAGGCAGTGGCTGTGCTGAACCGGTGCCTGGCCGAGGTAATGGGCTGGATGAGGGCCAATAAACTGAAGCTCAATCCAGACAAGACGGAGGTCCTGTTGGTTGGTGGATCGGGCTTCGGAGAGGGTGAATTGAACCTTGTCCTGAATGGGGTTGCACTCCCTCTTAGGGACAAGGTCCGCAGCTTGGGAGTGCTCCTCGACCCAGAGCTTTCACTGGAAGCTGAGGTAACAGCAGTGGCGAGGAGCGCTTTCCTCCAGCTTCGGCTAATTCATCAGCTGCGCCCCTATCTGGAGAATGACTGCCTTGCGACAGTGACACATGCATTGGTGACTTCCCGTTTGGACTTCTGTAACGCGCTCTACGTGGGGCTACCCTTGAAGACGGTCCGGATACTTCAATTGGTCCAAAATAGAGCTGCCAGGCTGCTGACGGGGACTGGACGTTATGTTCACATGACTCCAGTTCTCCGTCAGCTTCACTGGCTTCCCATTGAAGTCCGGGCCCAATTCAAGGTGTTGGTTATGACCTATAAAGCCCTAAACGGCTTGGGTCCTGGTTACCTGAAGGAGCGCTTACATCCTTATATGCCCAGCCGCCCCCTGAGATCGGCGGGAGAGGCCCTTCTCCGGGAGCCCTCCATGGAAGAAGTTAGGAGGGTGGTTACTCGGAGGAGGGCTTTCTCAGCGGTGGCGCCTAAGTTATGGAATGCGCTCCCCAGAGAGGTCCGCCTGGCGCCGTCGTTATTTGTTTTTCGGCGCCAGGCGAAGACCTTTTTATTTAAGCAGTATTTTAAATGTTAATATTATTGAATTTTATTTGGCCAGGGCGGCTTGTTTTATAGTGTATGTTTTATATTATATATTTGTATTTTATTGTATATATTTTAAAATGTTATTTTAATTTTTTGTTGTAAGCCGCCCCGAGGCTTCAGCGAATGGGGCGGCATAAAAATGTTTTAATAAATAAATAAATAAATAAAGGGGCACAGTCACCTGGGAGAGCCAGAAGGTTAAGTCTGACTTGGCAAAATGGACCAGCATTGGTGCTTGGATATGATGACACCAGATTCTCCCGGAACTCTGGTATACTTTAACACCCAGCTTGAAGGATGCACGTTTAAAGCGATGTTACGAATGCTCCTGCTTAACTGACTCGAAAACTGCTATTTCAGGGAGCAGGTTTCTCAAAGCATTGAAAAAACCCATTGACTGCATGATACAATAGAACATTATAATCCCTCAGTGCATACAAAAAGGTACAGGAGCACCTAAATTCATCACTCTAAATGACTCATGGAAAACTGATCAGACTGTTGCAGGAGCTTGAACAGATCACCTCTGGCAGTTCCGCATTATGAAAATGAGCAGCCACAGAAAAGCACAGCTGATAGCTGCCACCAGCCGGGCCGAACGGTTCTTTGAACAAACATTAGCCTTTTGTATCGCTCCACTCTTCATTTTACTTTCAGCCCCTTCTCTGCAGTTAAGGTTGCAAAGGCATTCACTGTGCCATCCTCTCCCTTCCCTCACATTTATGAATGAACTTTCTGCAATATGAGTACACTGGCCTGTCTTTATGCCATCGCTTCTTAAGAGGAAATTAAGCATGGTACTGTAAGTTACAAAGGTTGAACTCTTGATTAGGAAGTTCACATTGATAATGTAAAAGCTCCAGTATCTTTTAAATAAATTACACCATCCCACAGAGCTGATACACGAGTCTTGCCATTACAGAAAACCCCTACTCCGACAGACAATAATCCCTGGATTACAGCAGCACCATCTACTTCTGTTGCATCTTTATTGGCTCACACCTTCATACAACAATGCTTTTATTTTGAGAGTCAGACCACAGTGGATTCAAGATCATCTCAAAGAATTTGCTCAGATGAGAGGGAATTCCTTTGTTTGTGTCCAAACACAAAGAGGTGAAACTGTATCATTTCTCGCAAATATTTACATTTGAAGAAACATAGCAACTAATGCTGGAACTGCAGAATGGGCAAGGCATGAGACGATGGAAAAGATGGGAAGAGGGTTTAATTTCCATGCTGCTAAAGGGCCACTGTCAACTAACATGCTATTAAAGCTGAATGTACAATACTTTAAATCCCACTGACATGAGCAGGGTCATCTTGATGTGGATTGCTGAAATAGATTGTGGCTCATATCCCAAGACCAATGCGGACTGATAAAGCCATAAATATGTAGGGAGCTTTTGAATATTTCCTAGACAGTGCCTCATATCCCAAACAAATATGGATCAATAAGGCTATCTAACTTGGGAGCATACTCTAATTAACTAAATGGGACTTATTTCTGCACAGACTTTATAGGACTATACTGCCAATAGTCTAATGAAGACAATCGGGGAATTTTTAAAACATTTCATGGCTTCCTTTACCTCTGGTGTGCACATTCTTACATGATGCAAAATAAGTTCCCTTCCAGGTTTATCAATGTAAACCAGATGGATATGGGATGTCTTCACAAACATGTCAGGGGGAGTTAAGGTTGGGGTAAATCCTACTTTTCTTAAGGTCTTGCTCAATGTAAGAGCTCAGCACAAGAATGGTGACATTTTTAATTTTGTGACACTATTAAACACACAGTACGAGAATGTCTGATGCTGTACAAGCTCCTGCACACTCAATGTTAATGCATTGTGGTGTTCCAAGTAATTCCTTCCCATAAACAAATAGTTATTTTCAGCGTTTCGCACTTCTGACTTTATACTGTCATTAATCAGAAGTATATACTGTTTCCAATTTTCTCATTTCAGCTTTGGAAGTGTTCATGCTTTCTGGGTTTGTGATACATATTTAAAATGTATTTAATTTGAGCATTCTAAACAAGCTACTAACCTCTAAACAACTCAATTTTCAGGAAGATCTATCACTTCATCACCATATTAGATAAGAAAACAAGTTTTCTATTTATTACAGGTTTCCTAGGTTTTATTTGTATTTCAAGAAAGTTAAAAAGAGATTTTATCAAGATTAGCAAATAATATATAAGCTATTATACATTGACTATTTGGATGCGAGAACAGTATTCTCCTGGGGATTTGATATTCTGCAGTTCTTTTACCTGCAGACACAGAATAATATATTAAGTGATAACCAGGAGACTCTGGAAACCGATATTCTGAAAGATACTTGCTATATGAGATTTTTAATAAATAATTCCATTTGGAAATGGTTTCATGGTTTTTATTAATAATTATATCTTTGCATCTTGGAGAAACCTATTAACAGGAACTGAAAAGCAACACATTCATCGCAGTAGCTTTATGAATTCTTCATCAAATTAAACTTTTATACTGAATTAGTCTCAAACACACAAATATGCAGATTAAGTATCTTCCAAGGCAACAAGAGGTTTCCAGTGATTTAATGACAAAGGGGAAGCAAACTCTCTTTTTCTTGCCTGCTTATTTGATTTCTAGTGCATCAAGGGTAGCATTTACTAGCTGCTATAATTTAAACACAACGACCACTTCTGCACTATGACAGGAATCCTAGCTTATCATGGGTTACTGCGCACAAGCAGCCTGCTGGTGGTGCACACTGGCTCTTTGCTCCTTCTAACTGGGAAGGAAGCCAGGATAAACCCAGAATCCTGGTTTATTGCGATATGCAGACAAAGTCATCATATATTAAACCAGCAAGCTAGCACAACATTTCCCAGTCATGTGCCTTGCCCCCATGTCAGTTGGGGATGATGAGAACTGTAGTACAACAGAATAGGAGAGTACCTGGTTAGGGACAGGCTGAGCTACAGTATTGTTCTTCCCATGAGGAAGGGATGAGCTGAGATGAACAACCGTCTTGAGCCACTGCAACACACTCATCTGTTTCTGTGAAACCGGAGCACATATTCTGACTGACAGCGGGGACGACTGTGAAATAGGACTCTGTTGGTGCTGAAATGTGCGAGTGCAAAGGACCGGTGCTGGCCTCAGATGCCACCTCCACCTCGTACTCAATCTTTTGGGTAGGTGACTTGTCCTTGGCCGGGTTGCCAACAGCAGCCATTTTATGAAGGAAAGGCACATTTCTGAAGTTCCCAAATGTGCAACCGGATCGCAAGGGCTGCCTACCCAAGTACGGCTGGTGACATGAGGCAAAACTAGCAGACAGGGACAAAGCGCTGCTGCACTGACCAAAGCCAGGCTCCTATTTAGCACCAGCCCTTCCCGTCCAGATGCTTCATAGCTGGGGGTTTGTCCGAGGGGCCGTTCCACACTGCAGGGTCAACTGGGCATTGTTCGCATTTGGTAGGCGAAGTCCTAACAGAAGTTTCTTGTTCAGATTACTGAACAATGAAACATTCTGGGGCCTGCTTGCATGGAACAAAAGCAGCATTCGGGCCCAGCCTATTCATGGCAGCTGCTGCATGAGCAGCGTTCAATCGAAGGAGCGATCAACCAGGGTGAGTTCTTGTAGCAAGGATATATTCTAAACTAGAACGGGGTGCAGTGCATCGCAGGCCTTCCAAGAAGCCCCGCGTGCAATATTTCAAGGCTCGGAAGGAATCTGAAAATTGCACTTTACGAACATGCCCTGATGGCTGTAATAAAAATTGATTCCCTGAAGATATGCCGCCAAAGTGATAGTGGTAATGTATCTTTTGACAGCTAATATTCCAGAACAATTAAAACTCCATTTGTTAATTATGAGATGATCAGTGTACGCTGTACATACCAACTTGCTGAGTAGACCAATTCTCAAATTACTTCACTGGCACAGCACACGAGACACATCGCTAAGGCCAGAGCCAAACAACTGCTTTGATTATTAGCAACTTGGTAATGCAGCCCATGCTTAGTAACAAGAGCCCTAATGAGAAGCCTGCAGGGTGCAATTCAGCCCTAAGCTTGCAGGGTGCATTGTGACGGATTCCTAGGGAAGCGGGGAACACAACGAGAAATGGAGAGAGCTTGCACAACAACGCCTAACAATTCCTAATGCACTAAATATATCCCAAAGAGTACGATAAGGGCCATACTGCGTTCACTTCACAGCAATGCCAACTTATTTACTGAGCATAGGCCAATGCAAAGGAGTAATACCCGACAACTCCAGAATTAGAGTAAAGCCAAATCGCAACAAAATGTACTGTCAACAACTACCCCCTGCACTTCTACATTCATCCCTCACTAAGAATGCATCAGCCACATCTGAATTAAGCCAGCACCCAAATGAGGGAGTTTCCAGATGCGCAGCAAGCGAGCTCCAGGCATCATCTCTTTCCAGAGAACTGTGCTTTTACCTTGTTTAGCTTCCAGCTCCTCCTGCGTAAGCTGCGGCTTCTTTTCTTCAGTAACGCTGCTGGGTGTTACAAATGCTGCATTGCTGCTTGAAGTGCTACTTGCATTCTCTTGGCCTTCCTTGCCTTCTTCGGCCTCCTCGTCACTGTCATCATCCAGTTTTACCCGGTTTTTCTCCAAGGGGAGCATGTCAGTTTCTTTGGCCCGGATTGCAAAGCTTATTGGTGCAAAGGAGGCTGTGCAAAGGAAGGGACGACAGGTGAGTTACTGTTGCCTAAGCGGTCCTGATTGATTACTGCATGCTGTAAGGTCATGATTTGAGGGGCGCAGCAAGGCAGCTGACACAGAAGAGAATGACACTATGGAATGCCTTCCAGGAGGCAGTACAGACACTGATTTTTTCCCAAAGGGCTTTTCTGGTGTGCCCGATTACTTGCTATCCCATATACTAAGTTATCCAAGTGTGGAGCCTTACACAGCCAAAATAGCAGCAACCATGCTCAAGGGGAGGCATTAGGTATTATTAATAATAAGTAGGTGCAGAGGAACTCCACAGTTTGTCAACATTCAGAAGGATGACGGGGAAACAGTCCAATGAAGCCTGAGCATGGTCAGAGGACACAGAACACTGAATGATGGCCGGGGTAGTGGAAGGGAATCAAACGGCAGCAGAGGTGCAATCAAGTGTTCTGGCTGACTCTCTGGGACCTGGAAGAGAAGCACTTTACACTGCAATGTTTGTGGCAGGCCACATGTGCGCTGAACAAAGCTGTCTTGTTTTCATTCTGTTTGATTTTTATTGTTTCACTGAATCGTTAAGCTACTTTATGGACTCTTTTGGCTTGAAAAAAGGGATATACATATTAAAGTAATTATAACTAAATATTCTGTTCGCTTTTACACTTGTCTTAAGATCCGAAACCATTGCAAGAAAAAAAGGTTATTTACAAAGGTTGGGAGGAGCATTTCATTTGCTTCTGGTCTGTGGGAATAAGAAAAAATAAATAGAATTTAGTTCTGCAGCAACTCAATTCTCTTCCCTTGCCTTTTTGCCACTGCAGACTGAATATTCCACGTGAGCAGTTTTGCATTGACTGTTTTAATTGGGTTTTTTCGTTCTTATTATGCTTTGCAGAAGGCCTAAATAACTTTACTTACTAGGTGCTTATTAATGAATTAAGATAAAATAAGGAATGCTTTTTAAAGGAGGAGAACTTCTGGTTCACTGTTATTTTATTAACTAGGTTGGAATACGTAACTCAGAGATCACTCGCTCCACTAAGTTTTAATGATCCCTGAAAATGGTGAAAGGCAAATTATACCTCAAAGTGATGCTGCATATTCTGCATGCTCTTGACAGGCCCATACTGGTAAGAAGGAAGATCCAAATCCTGTCCTCATGATTAAACCAACAGTTCAGACCTGAAGATTTGGGCCTAGGTACTATTACAAGAGGGGTGGGACAACGTCTGGCCCTTGCAGATGCTTTTCGGCCTTCCACGCCCATCACCCACATAGCCACATGCAGGGATGGCATATGTTAAAGCCAGAGCTGGAGGACTCAAAAAGGCAGGACACAATGCCGCTCAGGGCATCATCCTAGGTCTGTTTAGACAGAAGCAAGTCCTACGACTCCCAGCATTCCTCAACCAGCAGACAAGCAGAACTGCGCTCAGGAAGAGAAGTATAACTACTGGTGCAGTCAAGCATCGTATTTACTATTTATTAGATTTTTATCCCACCCCATCAGCTATAGGCTTCCAAATAAAAACAATTCAGATAAGAAAGCCTCTTATGTGATTACTCAAAAACTGCAAACTTCGTGGTTAGAAAGCACTGACTTAATTGCCTTAAGCTGGTGCTGCCTCTCTTCCATGTAGCATTTTAGCACCCTGGCATCACAATGTTAATGTTCCCTCTGCTATTCCTGTTTTGGGTGCAGGTATCTTAATTATGCCTGTTCCCCCAAGCTCGTGTCACTTGCCCTCCTTCCCCATAAGTACCAGAAGACTTCCTTATAAGTGCTTCTGTGCTCTGAGTCCCAGACAAATTTTGGCAGCTGGCCTTCATGTTTTACAGAGAGGATTCTGAACTGACAAAACACATTTGGAATAGAAACCCGAACTGCTGGAGAGTGCTGGCACTGCTTCTACCAACCACATAAGGCACTTCTAAGGCACAGCAATTCTCTGCTGTGGTTCGTCCTTGTAAGAACTCTCAGGTGTCTGCCAGGATGGGGGGCAACCAGGCAAGAGCTCAGGCAGAGAATGGGGGGTAAACAGGCCATGAATGCCCATAATGGAAACCTGTGTTTGAGGTTTAAGCAGCTCTGGCCCTTTGAAAGGCCTAGATGGGAGACTAACCGCAAACCTCATTTAATACCGACAGACTGACCAATAGTTAAGTCACTGAACTCTTGGGAAGGAAAACTCTGACTTCTTAACTTCTGCAACTGGATAGCATGAAATAAATAAATAAGACAAAACAGGAAACAAGGAGTCAGTGCGTTTTGTGGCAGAGCAACCAAGCCGTATTGCGCCAACGTTCGTGCTTTAGGAATCTGCCCTCCGTACCGACTGTGCTTATCCCCTCTGAAGCAGAAGAAACATGACATGCTTGAAGGAGCAGAGCCGAAACTGGAATCTAGTCCTTTCCAGATCTGTGGTAAGCACCCCACTCACTGCACAAAACTGTACCACACACAGTCTTCTTTCACAACAGCTTCAATGTTACCAAAACATGAGAGGGGTGTCTGGTATCCCTGGTTCAGAGGAGGAAGGAACAGGTGATGGAATGGTTTCTGCTTGAGCTCCCATGGACCTGCAGACAATTCAGACTAGATGCAAAAGAAGTCTGACTTGGCACAGGGCAGCTTCCTACATTCCTCTTACATAACTTTGATCCTGCTCCCCCACAACTCAGAATGCTCACTGAACACTCTGAGTTACTCTGCTTGTTCTTAATAAAGGATTCAAAATCTTGTCCACCCCCATTTGCCCTACATCTGACAGCCTGCTCACCAAGACAACTTGCCCAGCTTACATAAACTGTGTTTGAAGACATTTCAATCTACATCTGAACAATATTTCGAGGAATTGAAATAGCAGAAGGAAAAGCAAAGCCTCTACATCTCCACACGCAGCGTTTGCAGCTTGCCCTGCAACAGGCAGAACTCTTGTTATAGCGGGACATTTGGTTTAGGCCTCTGCAAGAAGTGGAAACTGCCTCCAATCACCCTCACTCTTTACTCACATAAAAAGCCTGCCAATTTTACATGGCTATGGTCAGATTTCTCTAAAAGAAAACCCGGTGCAAATTACAGCCGACACATATTTCTTTCAGCCTCACTGGTGCGGATGATGAAGAAATCCTTGCAATTCAGTTTTTCCCCCCAGAACAAAGACATGACATCTCGGCAAATGTCTGAATGAGATGCTGTAACTTGCAACAGCAGGGGGTTGGACCCGATGGCCTTCTGGCCCCTTCCGACTCCGCCATTCTATGATTCTAAGACTTCTGCTCGTTATCAAGAGAGCCTCAATGCTGAGGTGCTCCCTCACCTGCCATATAAATACCTGATGCTTCATTAGACCAGACCATCGATATGCCCAGTTTAGTACATAACAGCAGCTCTCTAGAGATACAGGAAAAGTCTTTCTTGGTTCTGTTTACCCAGACCCTTAATCGAAGGTGACAGGAACCTTCTGCTCAGTCAGCAGCTGAGCAATGAGCACTCGCTAAACAGCTCTATTTGGGCTTCTCGCTGGCAGTTGTCCTGTGCTTGGGGCAACAGTCTCCCTTATTTACAGACCTGAGCTATCTGTACCAGGGCAGCAAACCCGAGGCCATAAAGCAACAAACCCTAACTTCATGCACCCCAGGAATTTCTAAAGCCTGATAGCTTACTTTCAGTTTAGAAGGCAAGCTATCAGTTCAGATTTCTGACAAGAAGCACCTGCTTCTCACACAGCAGCCCACTTTGGGGGAAGGGGGAAGAGAAGAGTGCCTCTGGTCTCATCCATCACTGATTTCTGCTGTACTTAACGGGTGATAACCAGCCAGTCCTTAACAGTTCATCTGGCAGGGATGTGGCCCCCAACAGTTTCACTTTGCTGCATATTAAAGTAAGTCATGAACTGAAGATGAGGCTCCTTAACAGAGATTATTTGCATGGCATTTTGAGAGCATTCTCAAGAAGGGAAGCTCAGCTCTCTAGGAGAATCTAACCAAGCCGATTATCCCAAGGATGTAGACTCTGCAGCATGAGGATGAGTCTTACATAATCCAATTCCCCGCCTGGCTCCTTGCAGCCACTGCAGAAAAAGCTCTGCTAGTTCCTGGAAGTGGCACAAGAAGCCTCAGAGGAGCTTGCAGAGTTCAAAGCGGGCATCTTGGTGCACAGAGAGGGAAAAGGCCTGGATATGAAAAATCCTGTGGCCCCTTCAGTCCTGCTGGCCATGCTTGCACTAGCAACACCTCCACTAGATGGCACAGAGACCCATCCAAAAGGGGAAAAAGGCTTAAAAAGAAGAGAGGCAAAAACGTCTGTCACTCCTCCAGCTCTGCTGGCAGAAAACTAGCTTGGGCTCTGGATACTTGGAAGCCTCCGAGATTGGACGCTTCCATCCAGGAAGCAGCAATCCCATACGACTGAGGCCCTAGTTTTTTTCCCCGATGCTCTTGCTGCCCAGGAGTGAGGGGAGGGTGGAGAGAGAGAGAAAATGGCTTTGCTCAGAGGTTCCGCCCAGCCTGCCATCTTTCAAAGGTGTCCAACTTTCAAAAAATATTTTCTTGTCAATTAGATTTTTTTTAAAGCAAAGCAAAAGTATACAAGTTCATGCTTTAAAGCTTTGGTTCGCATACCTTTCATCAGTTTGCCATCATTGGCAACTTTGACGGCAGCTGGGTCCTTTTTATTGTTTCCTTGGATACCAGACTCTGCATCTTCAGATGTGTGGTCAGTATGAAACTGAGCTTCTCCAGGTACAGCGCTGGCAGTATCTGCAGGGATATCCTCCGATAAAGATGCTACCTGCTTAAAAGGGGAAGAAAAATCAAACCAGATGGCATTTGATTAAACATGCGGGTGTTAAAACAAAGCCATGAAATGGCATTTTTAATAAGCAAACCTTGCTTTAATAAGTCAAATGTCAAGGAAGCAAGCAGATACAATGCATAACATACAGAATCAGGTATCCTTCACTATAATTCTTTAAAGCCACATGTATCAATCCTGTTTCCACATACTTTCTGGGTAAATATCTAGTCACTGGGCTACCTCACTTCATAATTCTAATGTACTTGATGGTATGTAACAAGAGCAATCCGGAAGCCACAAATAATCCGGTCCCTCCCAGGACAGTCCTACTTCAAAATACAGCTCAGGAGGGCATCCCATGGCATTAAAAATTCCTGCTCAGAGAAAGCCACCATGTCAGATTTTTTCTTTTGGCATATTTTAAATTTTCCCCAACAAGCCACAAAGTATGATTGGATGTAATGAGTAAAGTGGTTCAAAGAGCTGAAGGGGAATGTGGAAGATGATACAATTCTGGATCTCAGACTGGAACCAAATTCCTTAAAAAAGCATGATACTGAACTGCTATTAGCTGACTGGCTTATTTATGAAACCTTTTAAAAGATCTACTTTTTATTAATGAGGCTGGCAATTGAAGAAAGCAGATTTGCAGAAAATACAGTTACAATACTTCAAGTATATTTGACATTGTTATTTCATAGCTGTTATGTTGTTCAAGGGAGTCATTAAAAAGCACTGTGCTAACAGCTACATAATAAGAATGCATGAAGTAATTCTAATATAAGAAATGACTACATATAAAAGTTAGGGCATGCTTTTTAAACACTGAAATCTTTAAGGAACAATCTTAAAGTTTAGTTTTGCGTATCTGCTGCAGCTAATGACACCAATAAAATTTAAAAGCGTTCATGACATGCACTTTTAAGCATTAGTAACTCCCACTGTTAAAAAAAAAGATGATTACATTAGACAATAATAAAACTTCTGTAGTAAGAATTTATCCTCAAAAGGGAAGGGGGGCACTTAAATTAATTGGCTTAATTTACACATGGAAGACTTGTGCCATAATTTGTTTGGCAAGTAAGAGATGAAAAATTTAGTATGATCTGCAAGAGACAGAGACAATGGAAGTAATTTAGAACTGATATTAGAAAGCAATGGAAACAAAACCAAAGTGACTTATGGCTGAATCAGACCGTCCCACCCAGTACTGAATATGGAGCCAGGGCTAGGCAGTCATGTAGGCTATGGATATTTTGGATCACAACTCCCATAAACTCAGACAATGGGCTATACTGGCTGGAGCTTATGGATGTTGGGAGCCAGCTGATTTGGAAGGCACCAGATTGCCTACTACCGGCTTACTCCAGCAAGCAGCTACTCTCCAAAATACCCTTTCCCAGCTTTGCTACCTCTTACGTGCTGGGCACTGAATTGCAGCTTTCGAAGGTGCAAAGCTTTAATTCCACCAGCGAGCTACTGATGACTCCCCCAAGGCAGGATTTGTTTTCATCAAGATGGTTAAAAGTGGGGGCACTTCATGTCTGTCCTCATGGTTTTACATGGCAAGAGGGAATCACTCACAAGCCATCTAAACCTCCCTTCCAAACTCGCAGTGTTTCTTAACTTACAGATTAGTGAAATTACTGCAATAGCAAAAACCATTGACCTCAGACATGTCTGTATCAAAAGAGAACTCCTGGGTCATTAAGTTTCTTCAGAAGGAGGGAACCCTCTTCCTGAACAATGTAGGATGCAGCCACCAAGACTATCCCCGCTCTTGCAGTGATTTTCAGAGATGAGGAAGAACCACTTAGAAGAGGTGGTTTTAATTATTAACAATATTTACTTATTTATCTGGCCAGGGCGACTTCTTTTCTTTTATAACTTCTTTTTTTTATTTATATATATATATATATATATATATATATATATATATATATTATTTTATATTATTAATTTTAATTTTATATTGTTATTTTTGTATTGTATTGTGTTGTAAGCCGCCCCGAGGCTTCGGCAAGGGGCAGCATAGCAATGTTCTAATAATAATAATAATGATGATGATGATGATGATGATGATGATGAGACCACGCCATGCTTCTTGCTCACATTCTCAGCTTTCTTCTCGAGGCTGAAGGTCCTGCCTACTCCACCATCCCAGCCCTACAAGCTACGAGAGACACATCGCTGAAGGAACAAAACCCAAGCCCTTCATTCAATGCTGAATGGTTAATGAGGGGGTTGTGGGGACGGGTATGGCAGGCATTACAGTTTAAGGACAGGTATTCCAGCAAAATTTAAGGATTCCCTGACTGCATCAAAACCATCTTGAAAACGAGCCCGCACAAACTTTGCTACAAAAGAAAAGTTATGATCTGGATTTGGGGTCGCATCTTTTGCTAGGCTGAAACAGAACATTCTTACATGAGAGGTTTTCTAAAGTACAGGTACGAGTGACCTCTGTGGGTCCTGGGGCCCGTCCTCCTTCGCCCTGGACTGTACTCTGTGGGACTCCTAGTGCGACACCCCCAAAATGGCCATATTAGCACGATGGAATACCGCACAGGCCAAATTTAGCTTGTTTTGAAATCTAGCCAAAGTACATCTTGGTATTCACACCACAGAATAAAGATGGAGGCTTGAAAGTTATGCACACAGTTAAATAAAAGCAATGATTTTTACACCATTTTTCTCTAACTGAGGGATGTAGTGACGGCAGGGGCCATGTTTGAAGGCAGATCCACACCAGGTAGCATGATCTCCTTTTCATCATGTCCCCACCACCCTCCCCCTCCCTGGGGATCCCTGCCCACCCCTCAAATCAGGGAATTTTTACCTGGCAAGAAGGAAGAGATACACTTCTGAGGATTGTAAATCACAACTGTTTGGGCTGTGAGAAACATTTGGAAGCTAATGACGGACATGAAATCATTAACCACACTGCTAACAAAATGGAAATCCTACCTCTAAGCCACCAAAGGGTTTTTTTGGGAGCATTTAAGAACTTCAAATGTTTGTTGGGCGCTCTCGAAGGAAAGAATTGTTCTAAGAGGCATTAGTGCTTTTACTGTCACTTCAACGAGACTGGTGGAGAAATAAAGTGACTAAGAATTATTTCATTACCATGAAGCATTGCTCAGAACAGGCTCTCGAAGATTTTAAGTTCTTAAGCATTGATGTACAAATTGAGAACCGACGATTCTTTTTAAAAAAAGTTTAATGTGCCTTTCTTTAAAAGGTTGTTAGACTGCCTTCCCTATAGCCAGTTCTTCTCATTTTTTAAGAGAGTGTTTAAGGATTTCCAATTACAGAGGGAGTCTCATAGTTTTCAGATTCTGGGCATTTAAATAAAAATAAATAAAATGAAAAGAGCAGACTAGTTAATTCTGCACTTCGTGAAAAATTTTAAGCCTTCAGATGATAATGGACAGGAAAGAAAAGGCTGTTTTTCATGATCAGCAACTGGTAGCTAAGAGGTCATATTTCGAATGGAGCAATTATTGTGGAATCAACTACACTGGCTCTGTCCATCAAACAGAAAGACTTGCATAGAATAAACCTTTCTTCCTCTCCAAAAGAAGGAGCCAAGGCTCTGGCAGGGCTCATATGCAATTAGGCTGCTTCTGTATCAGCTGAACACGGGCAAATAGGAGGAAGCAACTGGGCGGGGGGGGGGGAGGGTCCGAAGTCAGGTGGCGCTGGAGGAGGAGACTAAGGCACCATTCAAGTGGAAAGCTTTCTCGAGCCCTTTGCTACTGACTTGTGCTAGGCGCTGGGAAAGCAAGCAAGCAGCAGCAAGCACTTCCCTCATACTTAAGCACTGAGGAGAAAGGCACGTGGTGAATGCTAGTCGTAAGGTGCAAAAATGTTTATGGATCTTGGCTCTCACCTGGCCTGTCCACTGGTAGCTCACTAGATGGCTGGAGAGCAGGAGCCATCACCCCCCTTTTCAATTTCACTGAATCTGGCTCTATTAATGACTATTAGCTACGATGACTAAATCCCATCTCCAGGTTTGGTTGTTCGAGTAGGGATTTACAACAGGAGTCCAACAGGAGAGAACTGGGAACTAGTCTGTTCATGCTGAGCTTGCTGCTTTTTGGGAGGCTGACTACTGGACAGAATGCGCAACTTGATGGGAGTTTTTCTCTTACCCAGCGAGGATCCCTTGTGCTGAACTGAGTTCCCCTACCTTGAAGCATGGAGACAGTTCTTCCTTTCTCCAAGCAACAAGCTATTGACAGGCCCAGTCTAAAACCATTCTTGGGCTCAAGGAATCAGTTCCAGTCCTTTGGGGTGCCTGACAGTCAATACAAATTAAGCCCAATCAAATTTCAAATGAAGAGGTTCAGATAAAAGACTAAATGGTTTAATCAAAGTTCTTCTCTACTGTCCATATTCTTCTTGAAAATGTGAAGAGCTATTTTTATGCACTGATTTTGTTTCTTTTTATAAAAAAAAAATGGATGAATAATGGAATTCACCCACTATCAATTTCAAGATGCTTGATATAAACACTTTTCCTAGCAACAATACTGTGACTGTACACTCTGAAGTATAAAACATGAGTATATGCACTGTAAACTACAAAAGGCCACAAACAGAAAAGTCCAAGGTTTAATTACAAGATCTATCCATGACAGTTCATCACTTCACAAGGATGGCTAAGTGCTACTTTGGAGGAGAAACCAGCACGGCTTCATAATGCAGAAATAGCTTTCATATACTTTTTAGCATTTCATTTGCTTTTACTAACCTAGAGAATGAATGGGACAAGGTAAATCTTGTTTCAATCAGTGATGTGGGGTGGAAAATTTTCCAATGTTACGTTTTTTCATAGAAAATGTTCCGCAGTGTTTATGTCTCCACTTATTCACAGCTGTCTGGGGTGTTGCACAGCAATCAATCATGTGAGATGGGCTAAACATAGACCAGGAACTGCTAAGTTATTCTTCTAAGGCAAGCTTGACAAACCCTAGGGCTCCGTTGCCTGCGGAAGAACTGAAAAGGGAGGTACGACAACTCCTTTCCGTACACAATGCAGTTTGCTCCTGGCTGGGGTTGGACCAGACTTAGACATGGCTTCAGGCAATGGGCACATCACTCCCCCTTTCCTTCCCAGCAGATAAGGGTAAAAGGCTTCTAACTACACTCCTTTATTGGATTAGACTGGCCAGCAGGGACTAGCTCTGTAATACAGAGTGAATAATATAGAAGTTGTTAAGAAGCATCCATCAAGTTAATTTTCCCCCAAGCAAATATTTCAGTTCAAATATTTTGTAGCTATTGGTAAAACTTTTGATATATTCATGTGGCATATAAAATTGATGTGGATTACACGTTTAGTTCTTTCTACTTAATATGAGATATTTTGGACACTTATTGAGGGGGTATGTGTGTTGGGGAGTAAAACATGTTAAATCAGATGGCATTATTTAGAACAGTAGAAAAATTTTCCAGTTCTGCTTTTGCCACAAAATCCCCATCAATCAGCGATTTCATGGCTGGCTGCATGCAATCGCAGGCCTATCAGCAGCATCCAGCCATAAGGGGAGGTTAGCAATGCTTTGCTCCTGTTGCCCCAATGATGGATGAATGAATATGTAGTCACTTCAGTACAAGCAGACAACTGAACTTATCCCATGCCTCCCATTACCTGGCAGTTGGGCTCAAAGTTCTCTACCTGGGGAGAGAAGAGGGGAGGAGGAAGGGAAGCAGGCTGCTTCTATGGGTCAGTATCATTGCCATCAGCCAACCTGTTACCCATTGCCACCTTCCTCTGAAGGGAACAGCCCAGACCCCGGACAACATCACCTACTGCCGTGGGCCAGAAAAATCGCCACACACACTCTGTATGCCGCGTTGAATTCTAATGGGAAGTCACTCTTGATAACCCATCTTGCCTGAACGGTGCGGCATAAAATGTAAGATAGAAATACAACATGACGTTAGAATTCTCAGTGTGCTATACTTCTGATCCCACTAGAATTATGTCTCTGAGCTACCCGAAAGCTACAAACTGAAAGCCCACAATTTGTGGGAGTCTGAAGGTATGAAACCATACATCCAAGCATCCGAGAATCCAAGCAATATCAAAATGAAATTCCAACTAAGAGCACAGAAGATCAAGAACAATCCACCTGTGAAGGGTGAGGACGTCAAAACGGTAGGCAACCTGGATGCGTGTCTAAACAAAAGTCCCAACTTAGTGGTGGGAAAACAAGATGGAGCAAAGCTGGGGAGCTGGTGGGTATAGAGAAGAAAAAGGGGGCAGAGAAGCAGCAGCCCTTTTCCCTGTTCCCTCCAACTGTGTGCCCTGGTGGTTGAACAGGCTTCCTCAGATGCTTTCTGAGAACTGGAGGGATCACACATTGGAAGTGGCAGTCCTTCAGGTATGCTGGTCCTAAATTGTTTAGGACTTTAGAGCTTTAGAGGTGAGGACACATTCCCTTATAGTGGCCCTGGTTAACATCCTCACAGCAGCATTTTATGCAAACTGAAGTTTTTGATCGCATTTTAAGGGCTGTACCACATCAAAGGCAATAGCCACCTCGCCTTCATTAATGGTTGCATAGTGTTAGCTGCCATGGCTTGGCTTTTGCCAAGATAAAGCAGCATATACAATTTTAAAAAACTTTCCTGGAACAGATTCCTTTGCTCTTGGCTGCCCTAGCCCTGCCACCATGAATAAAGCACACCGGAAAAAACCATGATATACTACTGTTTCATCTTTATGACCTACCTTCGAACTGTCACTGGCCTCTTTCTGAAGAAAGAATTGTTTCTTAAATTCATAGTAGGCATTGTACTGATGCCAAGGCTGCAAGAACTCGAACCTGTTAAGAAAGAAACCAAACTATCATTTGTGGGAAAACAGAAACTAGCAAAGCTGGCATCAGCCATCATTTACTATTCCACCACCCCAGGCACAGGAAAGCTATTTGATATTCTGAAATATAATAACTTATGCCTAAATGCCCAGAAGATATATATGTTCAGATGCACAAGCATCAAGATTCTTAGGCAATAACGCTTTATCATTAACTTCAAGTAGTCCCTTGAATTTTAATATATGGAATTACAACACATTACTCGAATAGGCTTTCTTTGCAAAATAGACTGCCAATAAAGAGATGGGCAATCTGCTTGCTTTCACTGTATTGTAAAAAGAAATTAAGAAAAAAGTCACTTGCGTTTACCTTGGATCATTCTTGGCACGAACACTGGTTTCAAATTTAATCCCATTCCTTGCAACATATTCGGCGAGCTTGTCAATTACGGGTTGGATGTCTGGAGGTGGGGGAATGATGGCAACCACAGGAGAAATTGTGCTGCAAAAAGCCAGGGCCATGTTATTTACAAACACCAAGCACACTACTTAGCCATGTCAAACTATTTAATATCACCACTGAAGCTATTTCATGCCCAAAAGGAAGCCAGGCAAAAATCAAGTCATTTATATCTGCATAAGATCACTGGATACGAACCACTTATTTTTGCTACCAAAGCTTGTAACTTTGCTGAAATCAGAAGCTTTTCAAGCAGGGTGCCAGAAAACAAAGAATAAGGAAAACTGAGAGGCCTTCTTAGCACTTCTCTCCATCAAACAACAGTTCTATATTTGAAACTTCAATCCAGCACTGCACCACATTTTAGAACAAATCCTCTGCTTGCATGTGGAGATGTACCACACATACAATTCTGTTTATATCTTACAATGTCATGTATTACAAAAGGCTGCCTAAAGAAGCTTCACAGTAAATATTAAGAGAAACAGCAGTGCTGGAATACCTTTTATGACACTACTGGCACAACCACTGGGAGTTTTTTACTTGTTGAGAGCCTAAGCAAAAGCTCACTCCTCCGGCCCCACAGTGTGATGTTTTCCTAAATTGTATATGGCCCACACCAGGATATATTTCAAACAAGACAGCATTAGTATTTGGAACAGTTTTCAAGGCCACAATTATCTGGCCAAGGATTAATAACGGGACTACAGCTACTCTGAATTAGACATGCCAAGTCTACTACAAGTCAATGTGGTAAAAAAAAGGTTTTGTACAAAAAAAGATTAATTTGTGATTTAAGAAACATTTCTGAAATTGATGGATTGCCCTTGAGTAGGCCAGGCATGAAACAAATCTGGAGAACAAGTGCTTCCCGCCTATTTAGCACGTACTCCCTGGGGAAGCATCAAAGCCCGAGTAACTTTCGAATGAAGTGAAACATCCTCTCACTTGAGCTGTCTTTTTAATTATTAATGGCCAGTCATTTCTAATAAAGGGAAGCATGCGGTCATTTGATACACAGCAAAAGATGTTCCCATATTCACTCCTGCATTAGTAAGACCAACCAGTGGCTATTTTTTTTTTTTAAATGTGCAAGTCAAGGACTGACTTGCATTTCTCGCCATTCATACACATGCTCTGTGGGGCTGTCCTCCAGAGGGGTTGGACAGCTCCTAGCACCCCCACTGGACTAACACACATCTGGGGGGCACCAAGTACTTTCGGCACGGTCCAATCGAAAGCAAACCGCTCTGGTTTACTCGCAGAAGCTTTTATAGTGTGCCTGGGGAGGCGGTGACTGTGCAAGACACTCTCCCTGGGAAAGGGCAGTAAGTTGTGTGGCTCACGGGATCCTCACCAGAACATGTGCCTCTGCTCAAAGCCAAAGGCAACAGAAAAGGCGATACCTTGTTGACGTATTTGCGGCAGGCGCTGCTCCTCCGTTGTCTTCGGCTGTTTCCGAAGACGGTGGTGGGGTCGTGCCGGGAGGCGGGGGTGCAGTTACGGTGGCTACTCCTGTTGTGCTGGATACAGTTACTCCTGCGGGCAGTGCACTGTAGTAAGTAGCCATGTCGATGCCTGGGGGAGGTGGGGCAAGGCAGTACGTTCCGTCCGGCAACATGTAGTAACTGTAATACATGGCTGCCACAGTTGCTATTAAAAAAAGAGGTATATAATCAATGCTTTGGGCAACTGGGAGAGGAAACAAAAACACAACATTCTCACCCTTGCTCCCCACTCCCTCTCTGTGCTTGAAGTAGAACCTTGCCTTTGTTCAAATTTCAAGCTCCCTAATGTGTTATCTGACCATTTTTCGTGCATGGAAAATGAAGAATAGCCTTCTGCCAACCCATTTGGGTGAAATGAGGCAGACACATTCAAGGCCAAATGGAAATCGCACTAGGGTGAACCAGGAAGTAACAAGGTGTGAAAAGAATCCCCAAGCATGCATTTTTCCTTCATTTGTTAATTCGTTCCAGTAATCCTTTATAAGTAAATTAAAACCATGCTTTCCTGATTGAAATAAAGAAAATAAAGTCACATTTATAAGTGGAACTGCTTTTGTTTTGATCAGGGAACACAGTGCAGATAAACTTCAGTGATCCGAAGAAATGTAATAGGGTATAACTGCTAGGGTTTCAGCATTCTTTGAACAATTAAAACATGTTTTCAGGCTAAAAATGTAAAATTTCTGGAAATTTTGAGGTCATGGAAAATAGCTCCATTGTTCCCTAGGGGAAGAAAAAGAAGAACCAACCCCAGTACCTTTTTTTTAAGTGCTCAACAGATTTAAAGTCGCTTTATTGCTTTAGGACTGTCTTCCCCAATTTGGTGCCTTCTAGGTATCTTGGACTTCAGCTCCTATCTGTCTCTAGTCCTATTTGGCTAGTGGACAGGCATGCTGGGTATTGTAGTCCAAGTCATCCGAAGGATAACAGACTGCTTAAGGATGCTTTTAAAATATAAGGAGCCTTAATGTTCCATCACATATAACCTGGTCTGCTAATAAGATGATTACTTCTAAAGTTTTTAAAAATAGTGATCTGTTATTGCCTGAGTAATGATAAATTCAAATTTAGCACATGAAATATGAGAATTATATGAGCAAATCAAGACACATAACCTATGTCTGACTACAAGGAGCACCAGCAAGTTGCTCATCAAAAGGCTTAATCATCCTGAAAGACAGGAGGAGGAATGAGGAATGAAAGACAGGAGGAGGAGGAGGAATGGAAGACAGAAAAAGAACTTTCTGCAACAGTGAGGTCTAATTGAGGACTTAATTAGAACAGTGACAGTGAGTTCCATAGAGCCAAACTTCAAGGTTAATTTTTTTTAAGGAAAGAAATGCAGATGGAATAACCCATATGCTGTTCTGATGCACCTGGCGACAGCAGCAGGGTAATGTGTAGTGTGCCCAGGTGTGTGCAAGCATATGTGTTTTTCACATCAGAACTATGTGACTGTTGCAGCAGCTAACCAGAGCAAGCCCTGACACAGGACTTGGCAAACCAAAACTCAAGCAGTCAAAGAATGCATGTTTTCCTCCATGTCTTGATATGGTGATTGTATTCACATGTTGGAAGCATCTTAAATGTTTATTGGTAATTCAACTGTAATGTTAATGAGCAGCGGGAAAAATAACTACCTTGGGCAAGTTACAAAGATAATTAAAAACCCATTTCCTTCCATGGCTTCATTTCTCCCACAGAAATTTTACACCCCTGATTTTTGTATGGAAGTCTTGTTACCAAGTTATTAGAAATCTTTTCAGGGAGCAAAGGCTAGGTAACCATATTTAGACATCTCAGATTCTAGAAAAAAAATCATAAACCAAAGCTGATCATTGTTTTTTTCATTTCCCCCCCAAAACAAACAGTCCTCTAAAGAGATCAGGAAAAATGGAGCTATCCCATTTCCCCCCAGGCCTTTACACCCCCTTGTTCAGGCAATTCAAATTCCCCTTCAAGAAAAGCTACAACTTGCATAGGTTCCACACAATGACCAATTCTCTTCAATTTATTCTATCATGTTTAATTCATTCTGGCTTTCAGTGTCATGGTGAGGGGCATCAATAGTCTATATTCTCAATTTCCACCAACAAACTTTCAGGTCTAACTTCATAGCCACAGGAGCTCAAACCAGGTTTAATATGTACTTATGTGTGTTAAGGAAGCAGAGAATACATGCTGCCTTGATTGCTGCTTTAATTAGAAATGTCTCTCAGGACTGAAATCTAGTAGCTACTAATGTCAAGCCTGGAGACCTCCATGCAGGGCTACGACATTCCTGCCCCCAACCTGTGAAAACAGCTTAGGTACCAGTTCCCTACCAACAAGCTAGGAAAGGACTGGCTCTTCTCGAGAGCCTTTAGGGCTTGGCTTTTTACATTTCTCACTCCAGAGTTTGGGAAGTTTTGGGGGTGGGGGCAGAATGACAGGCTATCATAGCAGAAGGGATAAGGAGCTGACTGAGCAACAGAAGTGATCCATTAGTTTATGAGGGCCAATTCACATCAAAACCTGTTTTAGAGACAATGTGCCAGGAGGCACTCCCAATCTGTGTGGAGAAACAGCCAGATACGTCTGGCCTACCTGAAAATGCTACCCTGAGTGTACACCTTAGAAAATATCCACTATTCCCCCCAGGGCTGCCCACTACAGGACAGGTCTGGTAATAGCATCATTTGTCCATTATCGATTGGTCTCATTAAGGAGTTCCAGGGTTTATTAGTCCTTTCCTGTGCGTGGGTTAGAAAGCCTACATCGTTCTTAGGAACATGATATATATAAAACAGGCACATTGTAAGTCCTTCTGCCCAAGGGCTGAAATTCATTTGGGAGAACCTACAGGGGTTACACGCTTGAGTGGTGACCAGAGGCAAAAGCACAAAGTAGGTACAAAGGCATATTGTAGCTTGACATTCTTACTGCCAGTAATCAAGCCTTAGGGGAGGTGTTACAACCTATTAAGACGGGGAAGCAACTCCACAGAAGCCAGGAAACCAGCAAAGGAGGAAATGGGGTGGCATAGGGGAAAGAAGGATGGCCGTCTGGGGCATGTTTGGTGCGTCAGGATGAAATCCCGAGAGGCCTGGAGGACGCCTCTGGGCCTGAGGCTCTGCCCCTCTGATCAAAAACCTGCACACCCCCATCCCTAGAGCACCTCCCAACCCTCAGAGTCAAATCCTGTAAGACAAATGGCACAGGAAAGTAAGCGCTCACTGTCAAAACGTGACAAGCATAAAACTTAGAAGTGCTCGTGTTCGCATGCATTTCGTTATTTTATCAGCACTGCTACATGCATTACAGGACTGCCAATTTAAAACAGCTCAGCTGTTTATGCAACAATCACCTTGCTGTCATGAGTTTTGAAAAGTCTGCATAATTCATGTATTCCACAGGCACAACAAAAAATTATGAAGGTTTCTACCCTCCAGAGACAAAAAAAACTGCGCAAGTTCACAGCTGTTAATGTGCTATTCTATTAAATATACATGTATGAATTCCTCATTTGTGAAATGCTGGCTGACTACACCACTGGAAACAGAGTTGCTCTGGCTTCTCCTGGAGTCTGGTTGCTTTAATCCAGTCTCTCTAACTGTGCAACAATAAGGGCCTCCCCCCCACCCCCTTCATAGAGGAAAAAGTCTCTCAAGTTTAGCAAAAGCCTAATGAGTTTGTGGCCAGCGGCAATGGGACCGTCACTGCAGGTGTAAGACACAGGGGAAAAGGCCTAAATGAACAAATAATGGGGGGAAGGGGATCATCGGGGAAGCTAGAGATAACTACTGGCCCAAAATAATATCTGACTGATTACACAGTTCAGGTTTCCCTAGCCTGGTACTTTCCAGATGGGCTGGATAGCAACTCTCAATATTCCTAAGCATCTTGGTGCTTCCAGGTGGACTGAGCCTCTGTCCCAGCCATCTTCAGCACTACTTCAGCTGACGGAAGAATCGCTCCATTGCAAAGGTGGGGAACCCACCAACAAAAATTGACTGGAGTAGGGTGAAGTTCACCCCTTGCAAGGACTCCTTTGCTCCAAGGTGCCTTGGAAACGGGAGATCTCCCCTTGGCTCCGATGGTTTTCAACAAGGAGGACTTCCCCGCACTGTTCAAGTTAATAGGAGAAACACTCCATTCACTCAGATTGGGAAAATAGCTTAGCCGGTACCGCAGGGCTGGTCGTGTGGATACAGCCTGGGCTGCAGACACCACATTAGGGAGCCTTTTAAAATTTCAGCCTTGGGAGATAAAAATGCCACCACCTCAAACGTTTCTCATGAATCCCCTGGTCACTCTGCCTGGAACACCAGGATTCCATGGAACAGTTTGGGAATTAGTGCAACTAAGTGGACAACATGATCAGTGTTGCGAGGAAAAAGGCAGCTTCCTAAATTTCAGTATATGCTTCAGCCAACACGTTTCCTGATGATTCCCAGTATTTGGGATTTTTTTTGGCACAGTATTATTATTTAGGCCAAATGAGAATCCTGTTCCATTAGGTATTTCTGCTGAATTCTGTATATCAAAGGCCTTTAATCAAACAGGAATGACTTTGAAAATGAGCTGCCTCAAAAAGACAGAATGCCGAAAGTTTTGTCATATTTCCTCAAATGTAATTTAAGTTACCAAAAACTGATCCTGCCGAGTACCTAAAAATTCTACATTCACTTCAAGTTCCAGTCCCTTTCATGTATCAAGTCAGATGAGTTTATCACTGGAAATTGTCTAATTATCTGAACAGCCTGACTGCTGCTTAAGGCTTTTCCTGCTGAATCAAAGATAATGGCATCTCCACCACATTTCTTTAAAGGGTTATGGTGTCACAAGGGCTCCATGCCCAGCACCTGAAAATGAATTACATTTACCAGTACTAAGTCATCTAGAAACATCTTGAAATGAACAAAGGTCAGCTGTTATGTTTACAGGCTTGAGGAAGTAAGATGCAGACAAAAACAATCTGGCGCAAAATGAAATAATGCTACTACTCCGCCTGCAAAGAATGGCGTTCTGCAATTTAACTACTGAATTTCAGAAGGTCTGGGTTTTGCAATATGCTTGCATGAATCACAATGATAATTTCTTGTGATGATTTCTTTTCACAACAAAATAAGCACCAGAAGATTATGAATAGGTGTTTAGAGGGTA